CCTCATGCTCTTTAACTTCCCTCACCAACTTCCCTACACATCACGTACATTTGTAATCATCTCTCCCTCGTGTCTCAGAGGAAGACATTGCCCTTCTCCTGGTAATCCCTCCTCCTCTGAATTTGAGTCCATTCTCTCATGTCTCCTCCAGGGTCTTAATCCGATTCTTCCTCTTCTACATTTTTATTCTCTTCCCCCTCTATTGGTTTTTGTCTTTAGCCTGTAAAAATGCTAAAAATCATTCTTATCTTTAAAATGATGTTCCTTGCTCCTTCTATCCCAACTTGTTACCACTCTCTCCTTCCCCTACTGGACATGCCTCTATAAAAAACACTCTACAAACTCATCTCTCAATCATTCCACAACCCTCTATCTGGCTTAAGCACTCATCATTCCCCTGGAACTGTTCTTCTAAGCTACCATAGTGATTGCATAGTTGGAAACACAGGAAAGAGTAACTTACTTAACACTACCCGAGGAAGTCAGAAAAGATTTCCAAGAAGATGCTTTCAAGCTGAGTCTTAAAATATGAATAGGTATGATCAAGTACAATTTATCCCAGGGATGCAAGGGTGGTTCAACATTAGAAAATCAATCAATGTTGTATACCACATTAACAGAACAAAAGACAAAAAATGATCATCTCAATAGATGCAGAAAAGGCATTTGACAAAATTTAACACCCTTTCATGATAAAAACACACAATAAGATAGGAATAGAAGGAAAATTCCTTATTATAATAAAGGGCATTTATGAAAAGCCCACAGCTAACAGCATACTCAATGGAGAAAGACTGAGAGCTTTCACTAAGATTAGGGACAAGACAAAGATGCCCACTCTCACCACTGCTATTCAACATCATTCTGGAAGATCTAGCCAGAGCAATTAGGCTAGGAAAAAAAAAAGAAGTATTCAAATTGAGAAGGAGGAAGTAAAACCATCCCTTTTCACAGATGACATTATGCTACATATAGAAAACCCCCAAAGAATCCACAAGAAAGCTATTAGAATAAATGAATTCAACAATGTGACAGGGTATAAGGTCAACACACAAAAATCAGTCAGCTTCCTAGATGTCAGAAATAAGCAAGTGGAAAAAGAAATCAAGTAGCATTACCATTTACAATAGCATCTAAAAGAATAATGTACCTTCCCGGATGGAGCAGGAGAAAGGTGGGGTGGAGAACTCAAATTCTACTAAGAAGACCAGACTTAACGGTCTGACTGAGGCTGGAGGGACCTCGGAAAGCACGGCCCCTGAATCCTCTATCAGTCCAGAACTAAAACAATTTCTGAGGCCAACTCTTCAGACAGGGAGTGGACTGGACTGTGGGACATAAAGTGATACTCATGAGGAGTGTGCCTCTTAGCTCAAGTAGATACAAGAGACTAAATGGGCAGCTTCTGTCTGGAGGTGAGATGGGAAGACAGAGAGGGTTAGGAGCTGGTTTAATGGACATGGGGAATCAGAGGTAGAAAGGAGTGTGCTGTCACAGTATGGGGAGAGCAATTAGAGTCACATGACAGTGTATGTATAAATTTTTGTATGGGAGAAAAAAATACTTTAAAAGAATAAAGTACCTAGTAATAAATTTAACCAGGAAGATAAAAGACTTATACACAGAAAACAATAAAATATTACTAAAAGAAATGAAAGAAGAATTAAACCGAAGGACATTCTGTTTTCATGGACTGGAAGGCTTAATATAGTTAAGCTGTCAATACTACCCAAAGCAATCTATAAAACCAATGCAATCCCTATCAAAATTCCAACAGCCTTCTTTACAGAAATAGAAAAGCCAGTCCTCAAATGTATACGGAAGGGCAAGGGACACTGAATAGCTAAAACAATCTTCTTTTTTTATTGTACTTTAGAAGAAGGTTCACAGAACAAACTAGCTTCTCATTAAACAGTTAGTACGCATATTGTTTTATGGCATTGGTTAACAACCCCGCAACATGTCAGCACTCTCCCTTCTCAACCTTGGGTTCCCTATTACAGCTTTCCTGTCCCCTCCTGCCTTCTAGTCCTTGCCCCTGCGCTTGTGTACCCCTTTAGTCTCATTTTGTTTTACGGGCCTGTCTAATCTTTGGCTGAAGGGTGAACCTCAAGAGTGACTTCCTTACTGAGCTAAAAGGGTGTCCGGGGGCCATACCCTTGGGGTTTCTCCAGTCTCTGTCAGGCCAGTAAGTCTGGTCTTCTTTTGTGAGTTATAATTTTGTTCTACATTTTTCTCCAGCTCTGTCTGGGACCCTCTATTGTGCTCCCTGTCAGGGCAGTCAGTGGTGGCAGCCAGGCACCATCTAGTTGTGCTGGACTCAGTCTGGTGGAGGCTGTCATAGTTGTGATCCATGAGTCCTTTGGACTAATCTTTCCCTTGTGTCTTTGGTTTTCTTCATTCTTCCTTGCTCCCGAAGGGGTAAGACCAGTGGAGTATCTCAGATGGCTGCTAAAGCAATTTTGAAGAAGAAAAAAGCAGGACTCACACTTCCTGATTTCAAAACATAGTATAAAACCACAGCAATTAAAACAGCCTGGTACATTGAAAACCAGTTGCCATCCAGTTGCTTTCAACTCATAGTGACCCTATACTGGTATAATAATAGACATACAGACAAATAAAATAGAATTGAGAACCTAGAAATAAATCCATACATCTATGGTCAACTGACTTTCAACAAGGATGCTAAGTCCATTCAATAGGGAGGAAGAGTCTCATCAATAAATGGTGCTGGGAAAATTGGAATTCCACATGCAGAAGAATGAAACAGGATCCATGCCTCACACTATACACAAAAAACAATGCAAAATGGATCAAGGACCTAAATGAGAAAACTAAAATCATAAAATTCTTAGAAGAAAATGTAGGAGTGAGGCTGTGAGACCTAATTTTTAACAATGCATTGCCAGATACAATAACAAAAGCATGAAGAGCAAAAAAGGTAAAAGAGATAATGACACCTTATAAAAATTAAACACTTTTGTTCATCAAAGGACTTTATCAACAAAGTGAAGAGACAACCTACAGATTGGAAGAAAATTTTTGGATATTCAAATGGCCAACAAACACACGAAAACATGCTCACTGTCATTAGCCATTAAAAAAAAAAAAAAAACCTGTTGCCGTTGAATCAATTCTGACTCACAGCAACCCTACAGGACAGAGTAGTACTGCCCCATAGGGTTTCCAAGGAGTGACTGGTGGGTTCGAACTGCTGACCTTTTGGTTAGCAGCCGAGCTCTTAGCCACTGCACCACCAGGGAAATGCAAATCAAAACTACAGTGAGATACCACCTCACCCCTATTAGAATGTCAATGTTCAAAAAAAGGAAAACAAGAGGTGCTGGTGAAGTTGTGGAGAAACTGGAACCCTCATTCATTGCTAGTGGGAATGTAAAATGGTACAGCCATTGTGACACACAGTTTGGTGGTTATTCAAAAGATTGAAGATACAACTACCACGTAAGTCGGCAATCCCAATCTGAGTTATATACCCAGAAGTGAAGGCAGGAATGCAAACAGAAACCTGTACACCAATGTTCACTGAGACACTTTTCCCAACAGCAAAAAGGTAGAAACAACCAAAATGTCTGTCAACAGATAAATGGGTTTAAAAAAAACGTAGTATACACACACAATGGAATACTACTCAGCTATGAAGTCCTGATGCATGCATGCTACAACATGGATGAACCTTGAAAATGTCATGTTGAACAAAGTCAGTCAGTCACAAAAGGACAAATATATGATCTCACTTATATGAAATAGGCAAATATATAGAAACCAAACATTATTAATGGTTACCAGGGGTGGAAGGAAGGGGGAAAGGAGGAGTTTTTGCTCAGGAGGCATTGAGTTTATGTGAATGGTGGTGGAATATTTTGGAAAAGGATAGCGAGAATGGCTGCATAACTTGAAGAATGAAATCAATGTTACTGAATTGTACGTGTAGAAATTGTTGATGGAGTATATTGCGTTATGTATATTTTCACCACAATTTTAAAAAAAAAGAGTAGGTAAGTTTGTCTGTTGATGGAGAGAACATTACATACAAAAACAATAGAAGGAAACAGCGCTTCATACTTCTGTGTGCAAACTCTTTGGCTCTCAAGGACGGACTGGAATCGAAGCAGGAAAGGCAGACAGAACTTCATGATCCTTTGGAAAACAGGGACTGGAGTAACATGGTCAAATTGCCTCAACTCACATTCCATTCTGTCCAAGAGTGTTCCTTTAAAATTGTTGCAATGGCTTCCTAACCTGACCGCTTACTTTGTTTTTTTTTCCTTTTTTTTTATTATTGTGGTGAAAATATATATACCCAAACATTAGCCAGCACAACTTCCACATTTACAATTCAGTGACATTCTTCATGTAGTGCCACCTTCTTTCCTTACTTAAAAACTCAATTTCTTGTAATTACTTCTATAATGTTACAAATTCAGTAACTGAGCTTCCAGTGCAGCCTTTAATACTAACAGTTCAGAATTTATTTCCATAAACTCCTTCAGGTAAGAGTTTACCTCCCAGATAAAAGGATAGTATCTGGTATCTTTATTTCCCAGCTCAAAGGACAGTATATGGTGTATAGTACGTATACAACGGTGCTCACTGAGAGAAACAATGAGTAAGGATGGCAATAATACATTAAATTTACAGAGCATCTAAAATGTAACTACATACTATGCAAAGTATTTTACATGTCTTATTTCATCTAATCTGCACAACTGTTTGTGATTGGTACTATCATTATTTCACTTTATAGACAAGGAAAATGGTGGCCCAGAGAGCTTATGTAACCATTAGAAGGTAACACACCTTAAAAGTACTAGAGCCTGGATGTGAACCTGTCTGACTACAGAGTTCAAGCTCTTTACATCATACTTTCCAAGAGGGAAAAATCCCTAAATTGGTAAAGAAGCTCAACAAAGAAGTGAAAGCTATACCCTGGCAGCAGTGACTATATCCAAGGAAGCAGAGGAGAAAGCACGGCTCACCTTCCACCTGGCTGTCAGGAGCACAGCATCCACAGCCTGGTCTTTCACAAGGGGCAGGATCCTAGTGTTGACACTAAGCTGAAGGGTAAGATTAGGGTAAAAAAAGACAGTGAGTGAGGCCTGCAATAATCTGAATCTTTCTCACTAGGCAGACCTGAGACAAGGAATTCTAACAGTGCCAACAATGAGGCCCTCCCAAATACCTCAGCTAATATAAAGTCACTGTGTGTGGTACTAGAATTTGTGATAAAATGAAATGAGTCACTAAAGCAGTCCTACCAAGAATTTCTAAAGTTAGATCAACCTACAAAGCTTTTTCCAAGGGAACCCATAGTCTTGTTAGTCTTTTCTTCCCAGAGGATGTTCTCCAGCATCTCATATAGAGTCAGGTGAGAGAATGCCAAAACGATTTTAGGACAGTTATCAGAGATTTCAAGCTGCATATCATATACAAGGAGGTAATTATAAATCCAATGTTGTTACCCTCAAGGCCTCTACACAGGTGATGGGATACAGGTGATTTCCATTTTCTTCTTGTACTTGTCTCTATTTTCCAAATTCTACAATGAATTTATTTTACTCTCGTTGAACAAACTCACATACACAATAAGTAGGTTTTATCTTTTTTCCCCGTCATTTTAAAATAAAATTAACCATCAGTTTAGCTTTGCCTGGAGACACTAATTTCCAACCATGACTTCCCTCCCCTAAATCTAGCCTTACAGCTCTCCAGAAAGTGAGGTCATTTTAGGTAATGCCACAGAGCTGTATCTTTGTTTTTCTAAAGACTTTAAATGCTCACCTATTACCAACCCTTCTCCTACTAACAGACCCACCCACTAACCAGCTAACTAGTTGTTGTTAGGTGCCGTCAAGTCTGTTCCAACTCAGAGTGACCCTATGTACAACAGAACAAAACAGTGCCCGGTCCTATGCCATCCTCACAATCGTAGCTATGCTTGAGCTCATTGTTGCAGTCACTGGGTCAGTCTTGTTGAGGGTCTTCCTCTTTTGTTGACCCTCTACTTTACCAAGCATGATGTGCTTCTCCAAGGACTGGTCCTTCCAGATAACGCGTCCAAAGTACATGAGACAAAGTCTCGCCATCCTAGCTTCTAAGAAGCATTCTGGTTGTACTTCTTCCAAGACAGATTTGTTCATTCTTTTGGCAGTCCATGGTATGTTCAATATTCTTCACCAACACCATAATTCAAAGGCATCAATTCTCCTTTGGACTTCTGTATTCATTGTCCAGCTTTCGCATGCATATGAGGTGACTGAACATACCATGGCTTGGGTCTGATGCACCTTAGTCCTCAAAGGGACATGTGTGCTCTTTAACACTTTAAAAACGTCTTTTGCAGATTTGTCCAATGCAATACATCATTTGATTTCTTGACTGCATGGGTGTTGACTGTGGATCCAAGTAAAATGAAATGTAAAGTAAAATGAAATCCTTGACAACTTCAGTCCTTCCTCTGTTTATCATGGTGTTGCTTATTGGTCCAGTTGTGAGAGTTTTTCTTTTCTTTATATTAAAGTGTCATACTGATTGATTGATCTTCATCAGTACGTGCTTCAAGTCCTCTTCACTTTCAGCAAGACTGTATCATCTGTATGCTGCAGGTTGTTAACAAGTCTTCCTCCAATCCTAATGCAGCGTTCTTCATATAGCCCAGCTTCTCAGATTATTTGCTCAGCATATAGACTGAATAAGTATGGTGAAAGGATACAACCCTGACACGCACATTTCCTGATTTTAAACCATGCAGCATCTCTTTGTTCTGTTCAAATAACTGCCTTTTCGTCTATGTACAGGTTTTCATGAGCACAATTTAGTGTTCTGGAATTTCCATTCTTCATAATGTTATCCATAATGTGCTATGATCCACACAGCTGAATGCCTTTGCATAGTCAATAAAACACAGGCAAACATCTTTTTGGTATTCTCTTTCAGCCAGGATCCATCTGACATCAGCAGTGATACAACTTCTTCCACTTCCTTTTCTGAATCGGGCTTGAATTTCTGGTAGCTCCCTGTTGATGTACTGCTACGCTTGCTTTTGAATTATCTGCAGCAAAATTTTACATGTGTGTGATAGTAAAGATATTGTTCAATAATTTCTGCATTCTGTTGGATTACCTGTCTTTGGAATGGGCACAAATATGGATCTCCTTCAGTCAGTTGGCCAGGTAGCTGTCTTCCAAATCTTTTGGCATAGGCAAGTGAGGACCTCCAGTCCACATCCGTTTGTTGAAACATCTCAACTGGTATTCCGTCAATTCCTGAAGCCTTGTTTTTTTTTTTGCCAAGTCGTCAGTGCAGCTTGGGCTTCTTTCTTCAATACTTCATCATTTCTTCCATTTGCTTCAGCTGCTCTGCCTTCAAGGTCATTAAAAAGACAGGAAAGAAAGAAAAGACCAAAATAGATGTCAGAAGAGACTCTGAAACAAACCAACTAAGGAGGTGTTTTGGGGGCCCATGACTACCCTCTAGAAGGATTTACAATAACAGATATGCTTTCTGTGCTTTCTTTCCACCTGTGAACTTCAGGGACACTTCTGCAAAGCCCTCTCAGGTCTTGGAGTCCAGAACTATTATAGGAAGTAGATTCCGTAGGCACATTTTGGTACTTAGGATCCCAAAATGAATGCCATGTGCATATCATAAATCTTGATATTTACATTAAACATTTCTGACAAACTGGTTTTAAATAAAAATTAATGGCCGTTGATCCCAGGTACAGATCTTTCTGAGAACAACAGGGAGTTTTAAAAAATGTTCTAACTTCAAGGACATTCTGAGAAAAACAACTTGACATGGAAGGATATTTATGACTTACCCTACAGATCATAAACAATCCCCAACAAACAAGTATACCTATAAAACAGATCCCTACTTTGTTATAAGACTCTCCCTTTAATTACTGGAAACCCTGCTGGCATAGTGTTTAAGTGCTACAGCTGCTAACCAAAAGGTTGGCAGTTCGAATCCACCAGGTGCTCCGTGGAAACTCTATGGAGCAGTTCTACTCTGTCCTATAGGGTTGCTATGAGTTGGAATTGATTCGACAGCAGCGGGTTTGGTTTTTGTTTTTTTCCCCTTTAATTAAGGAAATACCGAAGACCCAATTATTGTAACCGCCCTACTAGAAATCCTCTGCCTTTAAAAACTCTGTACTTGTGCAGCCTAAAATAAAATAGCTCCTTTCCACTTTCAGCTTGGATGCTGCATGACTACAATCAGTTCTTGCTCAATAAACCTCACACTGATAACGGACCCTGGTGGTGTCTGATATTTTTTGGCACTGGTATGTCATCTCCCTGGGTATATAAAACATCACCATTAATCAAGGGTCTGTACCATGACTCCAAGCTTTCCAGGAGATAAGTAACCAGTAAACTAGGTCTGCTACCTTAATTAACTATTTTCTTGCAGGCATTTTTAATTATATTCAGATTTCTGGGGTTATCACTGCTTCAGTTTAAGAAAAAATGTACAAGGTTGTTTTCCAGTAAAAATTACACGTGTTAAAGAAAAAACGGTCCTCTTGTTTAAGCTTAACTTGAACCCTTCTGCGAAACTGGGAACCTCTAGTAAGGACGGTTCTGGGAAAAATCAGCTAAGCACTTTTTTAAAAAAAAAAATTTTATTGTTCTTGGTGAAGATTTACACAGCATTTTAGGTTTCTATTCAACAATTTCTACACAAATTGTTCAGTGACATTAGTTACATTCTTCACAATGTGTGAACATTCTCATTATTTCTGTTCTGGTTGTTCCATTTCCATTAATCTAGTTTCCCTGCCCCCTTACTTTCTCATCTTTGTTTTAATTGTTGACCGTTTGGTCTCATATAGATAATTTTTTAAAGGAGCACAGTACTGACAGGTGATAATTATTATTCTGTGTGTCAATCTGTTGTTTAGCTAAAAGGTGGCCTCAGCTTCCAGGATACTTTTGGTTCCACGTTGAAAGACAATCTCATAGTGAAAGTCTCAGGGGTCCTTCAGTCTCAACAGGTCCAGTAAGTGTGTTTTTCTGTTTTTAAGAACTTAAGTTTCTGTTCCACATTTTTCTCCCATTCCATCAGAAGCCATCTAGTAGCCTTGATCAGAATGGTCAGTAGTAGTAGCCAGGCACCATCTAATTCTTCTGGTCTCAGGGAAGATGAGACCGCGGTGTGTGTAGACTACGAGTCCTGTAAACTAGTTTTTTCAGAGTCTTTGGTTTACTTCTTTCTCTTTCTCCAAACTAGTAGAGGCCAAAAGTTGTATCTTAGATGGCCACTCACAAGCTTTTAAGGTCCTAGACACTACTCACCAAACTAGGATGTAGAACATAAACTTTATGAACAATATTATTCCAATTGACCGAGATGTCCCACAAGACTATAGTCTAATCCTTCAAACCAGAAAACCAATCCTGCAAGGTATTTGGTTATGTCTAAGAAGTATCCATAACTATGTGCCCTATGTGCTTTATTATATACGTATATGTGTCTTAGTTATCTAGTGCTGCTATAATAGAAATACCACAAGTGGATGGCTTTAACAGAAATTTATTCTCTCCCAGTCTAGGAGACTAGAAGTCTAAATTCAGAGCACCAGGTCCAAGCGAAGGCTTTCTCTCTCTGTGAATTCTGGAGGAAGGTCCTTGTCATCAATCTTCCTCTGGTCAAGGAGCTTCTCAGCGCAGGGACCTCAGGTCCAAAGGACATACTCTGCTCCTGGCACTACTTTCTTTCTTGGTGGTATGAGGTCCCTCTGTCTCTCTGCAAGATTCTCTCTTTCATATCTCAAAAGAGATCGACTCAAGATACAACCTGATCTTGTAGATTGAGTCCTGCCTCATTAACATAACTGCCTTTAATCCTGCCTCATTAACATCATAGAGGTAGGATTTACAAAAATTCGGAAAAAATCACATTAGATGACAAAATGGTGGACAATCACACAATACTGGGAATCTTGGCCTAGCCAAGTTGACACACATTTTTTGGGGGGACACAATTCAATCCATAACAGTATGTATATATGCATATACATATATACACACCTATATATACACACATACACACTCACATATACATACCTATACACATATATGCCTACATACATACATATACCTACGCATATATTTTTTGGTTTTTGTTGCAAAGTTATATATGCTATAACCAAAACCAAACTCGTTGCTATCAAGTCGATTCCAACTCAATAGCAAACCTACAGGACAGAGTAGAACTGCCCCATAGTGTTTCCAAGGGGCTGCTGGTGGATTCAAACTGCTGACCTGTTGGTTAGCAGTCAAGCTCTTAACCACTGTGCCACCAGGGTTCCTATATATCCCATAGCAATTATCAAAAGGTCCTTATTTCTTGTGTACATCTTAGTGACATCATTTACCTTCACCAAGCTGTGCACACTTCACCCTCATTCAGTGTTACCTTTCCCATCACCAAAAATAAGAAGTGTCTACTATGAAGAGAGTGAATCCTCTCCCCCCACCCCCACTATCCCAGGTAACCAGCAATGAACATTAGTTTCTGTATATTTACATGTTCATATCATTTCATAAAAGTAAATACGTAACGGTATTTGTTTTTTTGTGATTGACTTATTTTGCTCAACATAATGTCCTCCAGGTTCATTCATGTTCCAAGATGTTTCAGAAACTCATTTTTCTTTATCATTGAGTAGTATTCCATGCATGTACGTACCACATTTTACTTATCCATTCATCCTTTGATAAGTAGCACTTAGGCTGTTTCCATCTTTTTGCTACTGTGAATAGTGCTGTGATGAACGTAAATGTGCATATGTCTGTTCACGTCACTTCTATTAGATCCTTAGAGTATATACCTAGTAGTGGAACTGCTGAGTCATATGGCAGCTCTACCTCTAGTTTTCTGAGGAACCATCAAATGGTGTTCCACAATGGCTGTACCATTTTGCATTTCCATCAGCAACAGATGAAGGTTCCAATTTCTTCATATCCCCTTCAACACTTATTCTCCTTTTTTAAAAATATATCTTAGCCATCCTAGTAGGAGTGAAATGCTATCTCATTGTGGTTTTGATTGGTATTTCTATGATGGCTAAAGATGCTGAGCATCTTTTCATGTGTCCATTGGCATTTTAATATCTTTAGTGAAGTGTCTGTTCATGTCCTTTGCCCAGTTTTTGATTGGGTTATTTGTCTTTTTACTGTTAAGCTGTAGGAGTTTTCTACATATCTTAGATATTAGATCCTTATCAGTTATATCATTCCCAAAGATTTTTTCCCCAGTCTGTGGGTTGTCTCTTTACTCTTGATAAAAGTCTTTTGATGAACATAAGTATTTAACTTTTATGAGGTCCCAGTTACCTATTTTGTTTTCTGTTGCTCATGGATTTGTTGTTGTTTGATAATCTATTATTGAAAAAAAAAAAATAAGTCCCAAAGATTTGCCCCTATATTTTCTTCCAAGAACTTTATGGTTTAGAGTTAACATTTAGGTCCTTGATTCATTTTGAATTAGTTTTTGCGTATGGCATGAGGTATGGATCTTGTTTCATTTTTCTGCATGTGGAAATCAGCTAAGAACTTTTTAAAATAATAATGCTAGAATACACCTAACCACAAATGATTAAGTAAACTGAAACTAACCTATAGATTACAGATCTGCAAGCTTAAAGAACCAATCTGAACCGAGGCCCCACTTTTAGATAGCCCACCAACTGCCATCTAAGCAAATGTCAATCAATCACTATAACTTCCCCTTTGAAAATCCAGTTTGTACTGTGTATATAAAACCAAAAACCCAAACCTGTTGCCACTGAGTTGATTCTGGATCATGGCAATGCCTATGTTACAGGGTAGAACTGTCCCATAGGGTTTTCTTGGCCATAATCTTTATGGAAGTAGATTGCCAGGCCTTTCTCCCATGGTACTGCTGGGTAGGTTCGAATTGCCAACCTTTTGGTTAGAGGCCCAGAGCAAGCTGTTTGCACCACCCTGGGAGAATCAGGGTGTCTTACAAACAGTGTTGTTGTTGTTTTTAATTTGTTGTTGTTGTTGTTGAGAATATACACAGAACACACACCAGTTCAATACTTTCTACTTGTACAATTCAGATTATATTTTTCAAGTCATGCAACCATATGGAGTTTAGCTGAGGGACATAGGATAATGAAAAAAATTTTTCCCTAGGCTG